CTATTTGTCTATGACCTTCAAAAGCCTTGCAAGCTTTACTTCTCAAATACCACTACATAGCTCTTGCAAAAGGTGACACTTACCCTCATGAAGGCACCAGCAGCATATAAGACAGCAGGATGGTAAAAATGCAGCGAACTTTATAAACAGTCAACCTCTTTAAAGCCGCCTGTATTTGGTTTGTCACACACAACAGCACCACACACGCGGATACACAGACACACACACACACACACACACACACAACACACACACACACACACACACAACACAACAGACACTAGACACAGACAACCACACACACACACAGACACAGACACATCAACACACACAGAGACACAGAGCACACACAATCTCACACACACACACACACTACACAGCACAACACAACACCACACACACACCACAACACACAGACACAGACACAGACACACACACACACACACACACACATCACCACACACACAGAACAGACACAGACACACACACACATCACACATCACACACACACACATCACACACACACATCACACAGACACACACACACACACTACAACACACACCACAGAACACACACACAAACAGCACACACATCACACACACACATCCGACACACACACACACGCGCACACACAGCACACACACACACCCACAACCCACACAACACGACACAGACACACACACAGACACACACAGCATCGGAACTCTAATATCTCTGAACCACACATCCATCAGAGCGATGTGTTCCTTGTTCCAACCCCATAAATATTTGATTGGTAAATACAGCGACTTTATGTGGACGAAAAAACAGTAGCACTAGTGTCACTATCCAACCAGCATCTTAACATATTTCATGTCTGTGTTGTGAGGACAACAAAGGCTTGGATTATCAGCTGCGCCGGGTCTGCACATCACCTTCAACATGGGGGGGGGGGGGCTTTCATCTATCTTCCCTCCTCTCCCTTTAAGACGTAGAGGGGGGCAGGGGGGGGGGGGGTTTAGGGGGGGGGGGTGTGCCTCAGGATGGGGGTGTCAACGTCTCGGATCTGGGTCCATTCCTTGATAGAACTTGAAGCCTGATAAGTTTATTATTTATCTGTTTTCGTTATTATTATTTATTATTAAGTTTAGAAACACATTATTAGCGCCTTTGCACTGTTTACCAGATTTATACCTGAAGATTTCCCCCCCCCTATACTCACACCAAACAGAGATGTATATACAATTCATATAATCCAAGGTGCATTCTTCAGATATCTAATAAAAAACTATGAAAGCAATCTGGCTTCAGATAAACAATAACTGTTTGGATAACACCACATTTAACAAAAACGTTCAATTAATCATAAATAAAATATAATAATGCTTTTCCACACAGTAAGACATCTTTGATATCATCAAATTGAAATCACAATAGATAAAGTTACCTAGCAAAAATACATACCAAACAAACTTAAAATAGTATAATAACATATTAAAATAATGCAGATCAAAAGGATGAGGATAGTGCAAATACAACACAAAAATCTAGGTGAGCATGGTGAAGTGCAATCGGAGTGCATTGAGGAAGTGCAGCCAGAGAGCTAGGAGTTAGTTCCTAAAAGGCTAAATTGTACAAATATGTTTTTAGCTTTTTTTGTTTTTACAAGACTTCACCTAGAGCAGGCTTCCCTGATGTCCTATTTTGTTCCATAGCTTTGGGGCACATTCATGGAAAAGCTGAATCACCAATCTTCCTTTTTTGTTGATCGTGATTTTTGAGATATATGACATTGAGTAAATGAAATACCCTTTGCATTATTGTAAGTAAACTTTTAAAAAACTGTAGGTGTATTGTGAAACTCCTTTAACTGTTGTAGAAATCTTAATTTGTAAAAGTTACTAAAGCTGTTGGTGCAGTAAAAAAAGTAGAAAGTAAGTTAGTAGGAGTCATAGTGTACTTTAATTATAAAGTAAAACACAAAGTGTTTTCATAATGAGAATAGCTCAAATAAAGTTACAACGGTTCCTCACATTTGTATCCCTTTATTTAATCTGGTGGAGAATACAGATGTTTTGCTCATTAATCAAATGTCATTTTAAACTAAACTACCGGTGCATGTGTCAAACAGCGGCAACATTAGAGTATATCCGTGCCCCCAAATATTAGCGTGTATTACACAGATGAAGCAGGCTAATTGCTCTTTCAAATGTTTAGTATACGTGAGAAGATGGTGGCTAACTGTAAATAGAGGGAACCAGCATCAGATTTATCAGTTGATGCAACATTATAAAATATGTTATGAAATGAATTATTATAGGAAGTCATAGATAATAAGTAGTTGCATTATTTTAATGTTATAATCATCTTCTTAATGAATAGTCCATGTGACCACATGTTGAGACGCTTACAGTTTTTCCTCGATTGCCTAACACACATTTTTTTTTTAATTGGCTCAGATTTTTCAGAACCACTAAACTCCAATTTAACAAAACCACACAAGTGGCAAAACACCTCATTTCTCCCTGCTAAATGAAGAAACTGCCCTCAAACTACATAAACACTTCCAATACAAACTTTTGCACCAAAATATAACACACTTCCATTCCTAATACTAGATGGTATTTGACCACCTTGACACACAACTGCTGGCATTACATACATCACATGTCATTTGTTGTGACTTACATACTCAATACTGTTGGACAATCCCCACAGGAGGCAATTTGGGGGTGAAGTGTCTTGGCCCAGGGACACAACGAGCAATGGTTGAGCTGGCAGTGGGACTCCGAAGCTTGCTAATCCCCTGATTTGTAGTCCGCATCGCACCATCCCAAGCTGAGGCCACAGCCTCCGCCTTTAGGCATAATCTAAAAGCACTTTCATCTTTTTAATGGACTATTGCTCTGTACATAGAGGTTTCTGCAGAGAAAGATTGCTTGCTTTATACCAGAAATAGCAGTAAAATGAAGAAATAGCAAAATGAGTTTTTTGAAAAAAAATCATATTTTATTCAAATAACATTTTTGCACTCCAGCCACATAGTTATATGGGCTCGCGGGATCTCTCCTAAAGTGTGAATGGGCCATTGTTTGCCAAAACCCCAGTTTGTAACTGCTGCTTCCCTGTGCCTCATTGGAAAATCCTTAACCCTTCCACCTGCAGCTCTTCTTTTCTCAGTCCTTCAGATAAACAACAAAGATATAGTGGTCGGTTCCAGTGTCCTGTGTTGGCATAAAAGTATAGTTTACCACAGTAACATTGTGGCGCCAGGATGTTTTGTAGGCAGTTATAGTCTGCAAGCATGCCACAATTCAGTTACAGTAATAAAGTAAATACGTTGTCAGCAAACAGATATAAGGCATGATATATCATGAATTATGGCAGAGGGCTAAGCCAACTGTAAACTAACCTGTTATGCAACGTCGAAGGTTCCGGATTAGCAGAGGCAACAGTAAATCGGTTTAGATTAGGACTGAGCCGCTCTGTCCAGCCTCCTCCCTCATCGTCAAACCTGATAACATTTTAGTTAAGTATTCCTTATTTGTCCACGTTCAACTCCAGCTCTACTCTACCGTCCTCAACCCAAACCTGCTTCCTTCTCATCTCACCTCTCAGCCCCAGCTCTTGCCTCTTCCCTCTTGCTTCCAATGGTTGCCTTCATTGTTGGTAAGAAAGTACTCACTGAGGTCCTTTTTGTAGTGGCTAACCATCGCTGATTGATGAGCCAACCATTATGCTACACAGGTTTTGGGTCGAGAGTTTTTTAGGGACAGACATATATAAGAGACATGGTACCATAGGATAGAAAGAGCAATTGAAATACAGTGTTCATGAAGCAGCTACACGTGACTTTATGTCAAGATTCCTGTGTCGTACTGGAGGAACGTGTGCAGTGGTTTGCAGTGTCATGTTGATTTGCAATTGGGATGGGGCATGTTATATTTGGGGGAGTTTTGGAGATTTGAGCCGATGTTTTGCCCTTTGAGTGTCAGTTAAAATAATTGTGCTTTATGTTGAATTTTAGTGTTAGCAATCGAGAAAAACTGTAATGCCAGGTTTTATTTATTTGGATCCCAACTAGCTACTGTATTTCAATAGCAACTTGTCTTTCTTTGGGCATATTTTGATTACATTTCAAATTTAGAAATTAGAATTTAAAGCTTGCCTAATACAAACATTAGCTCTATATAATGAATTTCATAAAAGGGAGAAAACTCAACAATTCATCTTAGAAAAAATAATAAGTAATAGTAGTAAAATGAGTACAGTACACAGTACAGGAAATGGAAAGCCACAATAGAGTCTCTTTAATCATTTTTCTAAATAAGGGAACATTACCAGAACTGTCAAACAATATAACTTCTGGATTAACGTGTCTCAGTGAGATTCAATCCCGTTTATGTGATTAATCAAAATCTGGGAGACATTCTCAGTTTGATGTAGAGGTATAAATACACAATGGAATGAAGGCAAATGTCGGTAATGCTGCAAACTAAATAAA